TAAATAAAAGACTATATGCACAAAGATAGTGTTCATGAGAGGATTAAAATACGGGAGAATTGTTAAATAAGCCTCTACTGGAAGACAGGTAAGTGAACTATGGCACGCTTATTAAAGGGATTACTTTAGATTAGTTATTCTTTTTCTTCGTGCTTTCTTCTTTCTAAAGAAAAGAGTGCTTAGAAATACTTTCCTTACTCCAAAGTCAGGTACATATTCATCCATGTTTTCTTCCTGTTCGTCTAAAATCTAATAGACTAAACTTCCTTATCCATCTAGAATTTATTTTGATGGAGGTGAGATAAGGATCAGGTTATTCCCCCCTCCAAACGGTAAATAATTTGTCCCAACACCATGTGTTAAAAAAAATCTATTCTTAACCATAATTAAAAAGTCAAAAAAAAAAAAAGGGATTACTACACAGCTATTCATTTTGAATGTTATGTGACAACTTAAAATATTTATTCATATAATGGGAAATAAAAAAATGTGTAAGATCACAATTTTATTTTTAAATTCATGTATATAACAAAAAGAGTCTAAGAAACAGCACCAAAATGCTAAAAAAAAAAAAAAAAAAAAAAATTACAAGGTTGGAATTGGGAGATATGTTCTCTTCTTTTCTGTTTTCAATATTCCAGGTATGACTGTTTTATTCATTTTAAGGAGTGGGGTTTGGGGTTTGCTTTTGTTTCTGATTTTTCAGTTTATGGTCTGAATCTCACTCTCTACAATCTTGGTGTGAATTCCTTCCCAAAATCACCAAGTAAATCTTCTAGCGCCACTTTTCTTTTCACTCTTCTCATTTCTTGGTAAGCACCCAAGTTTAAACACATAATAATACAGTAGATACGTATTCAATGGCATAGCCCTGACAAAGTAGAGCATATTTCCCTAACTCTGCCTTCCTCAGGGTTCAGGACCATTAAGAGGAATAACACCGGACACTTAATACACAGCTTTTGTATGTGTTAGGCCCTCTTCTAAGAACTACATTAGCACTAAGCACTAAGACCCTCTTCTATTCACAGATACTAATTCATTCACTATCCACAACAATCCTATGAGGTGGATATTATTATCTTTTTTAATAGGCAAACAAATTGAGACACATAGGGGTCTTGATAAGGGCAAGTGAATAACTTACACATGGTTATCCAGCTAGTTGGTCAAAAGCTGGGATTTGAGCCCAGGAAGTATGGTTCAAGGGTCTTTGCTCCTCTTTGTTGTATTTTAATGTATTTCTCTTTTTATAACTTTCAAGTTCATGGGTGCAAGTGCAGGTTTGTTACATAGGTAAACTCATGTCATGGGGGTTTGCTGTACAGATTACTTCATCACCCAGGTATTAGGCCTAGTACCCGTTAGTTCTTTTACCTGATCCTCTCCCTCTTTTCATCCTCCACCCTCTGAAGGGCCCCAGTGTGTGCTGTTCCCCTCTGTGTGTCAATGTGTTCTCATGGTTTAGGTCCCACTTAAAAGTGAAAACATCTGGTATTTGGTTTTCTGTTCCTGTATTAGTATGCTAAAGATAATGACCTCCACCTCCATCCATGTTCCTTCAAAGGACGTGAACTCATTGTTTTTCATGGCTGCGTGGTAGTTCACAGTGTACTATGTTTTCTTTACCCAGCGTATCATTGACGAGCATTTAGGTGGAATGCATTCTTTGCTATTATGAACACCTCTATGTACATAAACTAGAAAAATTTAGGGTCTCTGCTCTAATCACTCAAAAGAGGAAGCTTTGAAATAGCTGAACAGACAGGCTGACAAGCATGTGAAACCCACACAGCTAACTGGTGGCCGTGGAGGTGTGACCACTGGGGTCAGAGGGTTGAGGCAGACAGACAGATCTCAGGGGTTCCTAATGTAAGCCCTTTCCCAAATGGAAGTCTCAATCTCTGGCAGCACTTTGTTTCTTTCTGGGTGAGACGATGGCAGATGTAGAATGGCATCTGAAATATGAGCAATCACCTTTGCATAAATACAGCATCAGAGAGGAATTAGAGGTAGCTCTTAGCCAAACATGAAAAGCATAAAGGGGCTACACGTTTCCTTAAACCAGGTCTTGGTATTTTCTTTATCTATTGTTTCTGAAGCAGACATAATGATTGTTTCTTCTCTGGTGAGTTGTTTCAGATTACAAAGCTTGAGATTTTGCCTAGAATGGTAGACATCCCAGGGCTAGGACAACATTTTCATGGCCATCTGATCTAGACTCTGCCCATTACTCCACTGCTAACATACACATGCAATTTCTTATAACAGAATAGGAGGAACATCCATTAGAAATGATGAGGCCGGGCGCGGTGGCTCACGCCTGTAATCCCAGCACTTTGGGAGGCCGAGGCGGGCGGATCACAAGGTCAGGAGATCGAACCCACGTGAAACCCCGTCTCTTACTAAAAAATAAAAAAATTGACCGGGCCGCGGTTGGGGGCGCCTGTAGTCCAGCTACCTCGGGAGCTGAGGCAGGAGAATGGCGTGAACCCGGGAGGCGGAGCTTGCAGTGAGCCGAGATCGCGCCACTGCACTCCAGCCTGGGCGACAGAGCGAGACTCCGTCTCAAAAAAAAAAAAAAAAAAAGAAATGGATGAGTGGAAGAAGCTCTTTAGTTAATTAGATCCCATCTGCACAGCAAAAAAAATACCCTCAGAGTGAACAGGCAACCTACAGAATGGGAGGAAAATTTGCAATCCTACTTATCTGACAAAGAGTAATATCCAGAACCTATGAAGAACTCAATCAAATTTACAAGAAAAAAAAAACAACCCATCAAAAAGTGGCAAAGGATATAGACAGGCACTTCTCAAAAGAAGACATTTATGCCAGCCAACAGACACATGAAAAAATGATGCTCATCATCACTCGCCATCAGAAGAAATGCCAAATCAAAACCACAATGAGATACCATCTCACACCAGTTAGAATGGCGGATCATTAAAAAATCAGGAAACAACAGGTGCTGGAGAGGATGTGAGAAATAGGAAACACTTTTTTACCATGTTGGTGGGAGTGTAAACTAGTTCAACCACTGTGAAAAAGTGTGGCAATTCCTCAAGGATCTAGAACTAGAAATACCATTTGACCCAGCGATCCCATTACTGGAGATATACCCAAAGGATTATAAGTCATGCTGCTATAAAAGACACCATGCAACAAGTATGTTTACTGCAGCACTATTCCACAACAGCAAAGACTTGGAACAAACCCAAATGTCCATCAGTGACAGAACTGATTAAGAAAAATGTGCCACATATACCACCATGGAATGACTATATGCAGCATAAAAAGGAATGAGTTCGGTGTCCTTTGTAGGGACATGGATGCAGTGGAAACCAATCATTCTCAGCAAGACGTAATCGGGCGCCAAGAAGCTGGAAAACAAACCTCATGTTCTCCAGTTTTTTCTCATAAGTGGAGATTGAACAAATAGAGTAAACACTAGACAGCAAGAAGGAGAAACATCAACACCCGGTCCTAATTGTGGGGAGGGGGTGGGGAGGGATAGCTTTAGGAGATATACCTAATGTAAATGACGAGTTAATGGGTGTAGCACACCAACATGGCACATGTATACATTTGTAACAAACCTGCACATTGTGCAAATGTACCCTAGACCTTAAAGTATTAAAAAAAAAAGAAATGATGAGTGAGGTATCCTGTGCACAAAAGGGTACTGACGGCCGTCTGCTACAAGTGACTAGGTGAAGGGAGCAGGAGTTGTATGCAAACACAATGATAGGTGCAATGATGCTAAGTATTGAATTAAACATTGAGTGATTTTTTTGATGGATCTTATTGATGGTTCCCCATAATCCATAGATTGAGTAAATGTTTAGAGTGTTTAGATGTTATAGCTAAGATATTTATTTATTTATTTAATTTTACTTTTTTGAGACAGACTCTCACTCTGTAGGCCAGGCTGGAGTAGGGTGACACAATCTCAGCTCACTGCAAGCTCCGTCTCGCAGGCTCAAGCAATTCTCGTGCCTCAGCCTCCCAAGTAGCTGGGATTACAGGTGCCTGCCACCATTCCTGGCTAATTTTTGTATTTTTAGTAAAGATGGGGTTTCATCATGTTCGCCAGATTGATCTCAAACTCCTGACCTCAGGCGATCCACCTGCCTCTGCCTCCCAAAGTTCTAGGATGACAGGGTGAGCCACTGTGCCCGGCTTATACCTAAGCTCTAGATGTCCTATGCTTTTAATTCATTAGCTCCAAGTCTTGGAAAGAGGCTTCGCAAACATCCATCCCAATAGAAGATCAGGATTATAGTCAAGCAGCCAAGAGTGCAAAGGCAGCTGGCCTAAGCTGGGATCCTTCTCATAATAAAGAACTCATGGTTTCCAAGCCACATCTAAAATGATTGTGTTCCATCAGCCTGTACTGATGTGTGTCCCGCCTTCAAACCTTATCCAAAACAACTCGAGGCTCTGCAACTAGAAATACACCTCTCACTCCCCACTGAAATAGACCCAACTTTTTGTTAAAAAGCTTTCATCTTATCCAGCCTTATCTGATCAAAGTAGGGGACTCTCCTAAATTCTCCAAGTCAAAATATAGATATCCTTGACCCACGTGTCATCGGATATTTTCCATGAAGGAAGACTTTCACGGAAACTATATTTTTAAATTTCAGATTTTACTATTTCCCTTTCAGTTTTATCAATAATAGAAACCATGGGAAAGGGCCTGAGAGATCGAACTTCAGTTTATAGGTGAGGAGAGGAGTCCCAAGGAAAAGAGAACATCATCCTAGAATTATCCACCGAACTGTTGACTGAGCTGCTCCAGGGTCTCATTCCAGGTCTCTTTCTGCCCCATTCTTCTCAACTTTCATGTGGCACTGAAGGGAACACTGAATAGCCATGAAGCTCATGAAGAAGCAAAGGCTGTCCAGTCATTCTCCCCAATCCCCTACCTTCTCCCCTCAACCCCACAAACGCCTTGTCTGAACCTGCCCCCAGCGAAAGGCAGGACCATGGGTTCTCACTCATTTCCATGTACTCCGGAGTTAGTCCTGTGTATGGTTCCAAGCTGTAGTCTAGGTCCCACTGCTCTGGATGTTTCGAATGGGCAGAGTCAGTTTCTCCAGCTTCTGTCTCATCTTTCAGCTTTCGAAATAGTTTCTTTAGCTTCCTGGAAAAGAAATGGATTAAGTTACAAAAAGCCTCTGGAGAACAGGGTTGGTTTTGCAGATAGAAAAAAGAAAAAGAACACAAAGGTTTGACACTAAAGCCATCTCTGATCTAAAAACAAGTAGAGATAGAGAGACACTAAAGAGACTACGTTTCTCCTAAAGACAACCTGAGGAAGTCCTTTATCAAGATCATGCAGACTCCCTCCACAAAGGATCAGGTTTCTTCAAAGCCCAAAAACCTTTTGAATTCTTCCTGCTGTTTGAAAAGCAACAAGAGAGTTGGCCCTTCCTGCCAATGCTGAGACAGCGCCAGTCCTATTGTCCCACAGGTGATCTATCCACCCTCTTCATGGGGGAACACAGGGCTGTTCTCCTCCCAGGTGAAACATTTTTCAAGTCTCAATAACATTAATAGCATCATCTTTCCATTAAAGCCAAGCTAAGCATTGCCCACCACTGCTATGGACTGAATGGTGTCCGCTGAAATTCATTTACTGAAGCTCTAATCCCCAGTGTGACTGTATTTGGAGATACGACTTTTAGGAGATAATTTAGATTAAGTGAGGTCAAAAAGGTGGGGTTGTAATCCAATAGGATTGGTGGCTTTATGAGTAGAGGAAGAGAGAAAGAGATACCTCATCACCATCTGAGGACACAGTGAAAAGGCAGCTTAGCTACCTGTAAGCCAGGAAGAGCCCTCATCAGAAATTTAACCCTTTTGGACCTTGATCTTGAACCTTTCAGCCTCTAGAACTATAAGAAAATAAATTTCTATTAGTTAAGCCTAAGGCATTTTGTTACAGCAGCCTGAGCAGACTAAGACAACACATTCAGGATTTTTTTGGTCTAGAATGATGATAATGGCCCAATTTATCAGGGTTGATATAAGAATTAAGTGAAACAATGTTTATACAGTCCTTAGCACAATATCTGGACATAGTGAGCATTGAATAGATGATATCTATTATTATTTTTAATATTGAATGTTAAAATACACCTTAGGGGCTGGGCACGGTGGCTCACGCCTGTAATCCCAAGACTTTGGGAGGCTGAGACGGGCGGATCACGAGGTCAGGAGATCGAGACCATCCTGGCTAACACGGTAAAACCCCGTCTCTACTAAAAATACAAAAAACTAGCCGGGTATAGTGGCGGGCACCTGTAGTCCCAGCTACTTGGGAGGCTGAGGCAGGAGAATGGCGAGAACTCGGGAGGCGGAGCTTGCAGTGAGCCGAGATAGCGCCACCGCACTCCAGCCTGGGCGACTGAGCAAGACTCTGTCTCAAAAAAAAAAAAGAAAAAATACACCTTAGGGTAGAGTTATTTCATACTTCCCATTGATGCACAATGTATAGGGAACAGAATTGTAGTTTTTGCAATTACTTTTTAATGGCAAAAACTGCAATTACTTTAAGCAGCAACCTAATAGTTGGGAGACCTAACAGCAAAACAGTCAGAATCATAGACTTGAAGAGTTTAAATGGGATTTTGAAGTCCATGCTTCATCTAGATGTAGGAACCTCCCCATGTCCCCCAACATTCTTCACCCAAGACCACCCAACCCTTGTGTAGACATTTCCAGATGAGCACTCCTGGTATGATTAGGCATCCAATCCTTGTTTGAAAGTGCCTCTAGCAACTAATGAAAATCTAATAGTTCAAAATAACATTTTGATCAGTTTCTGGTCTAATATCAATTCCCATCAAGAGTACGTAGTAGAGTATAGTGCATACAAGTCTCATCTCTGGTGTCAGAAATTTTATAAAACCAGATTTCACAACTTACCAACTATATGTCCATGGGCAAGTTATTACAACTCTATAAGCGTTAGTTTTCTTATCTTTAAAATGGAGAAATAAATATGAATTTGCCCATAGGGTGAGTTGAAAGACATAATCTATACAGCATGCTTCATTTAGGACTTGATACCTGTTAAGAGTGTGTACCAAGATACATGCTCTGATAGACATTTATCAAGATAAAGATAGATAAATAAATCTATCTTTGTCCCTATTATCATCTTTATCACAGAAGGATTTAAAGAGTGAGCTGAAATTATTTAGAGATGGTAGTAAAAAATTCATAAGAAAAAAGTAAGCAATAATTCTGTGATAATAAGAAATTGAGAAAAACTAGATAGAGCCCACAGATTCTGAAGCTAAATAGTGTGGACTGGTTAAGATCCTGTCTGTGAGTCAGAACAGAAGGAGAGGAGAGAGGAAAAAACAAAGAGAGAGAGAGAAGAAAAGAAAAAAGGAAAGTGAGGGAAGTCTAGAACCAGAACTCAAAGTGAGACTTCTCCTCCAGGAATAGTAATCAGAGGACCTGGTGAAATCTTTAGTAAAGAATTACTAAATCGTGATTCATACATAGAAAATTGAATATAAACATATATTTATCCACTTCTGAAATGCCACTAAAATAACAATGAATGAATTTTTAAAAATGTACAAAACCACAGGTTAATGAAAATAGTCATGAATATAGTAGTGTGTGAGGAATGTTGATGAATATCTTGGAAGATGGACAGTGTACGAGGGAGTCAGCAAAGCTGTGTGGCTGCTATCAACTGTTCACAGTGGAAGATGGTAGAGAGAAACAAGCCAACTCATGCTATAAAAATCTCAGAAAGGCTCAGGAGTTGGACGCACCAGGTATCCCCAAGGCAGGGAGTGGTGACTGGTCAAAGCTCTGCTTAAGGAACAGTAGACCCCAATGTCTCTGTACGCGTGTTGCCTTGGTGACTAGCACTTCCCAATACCAACGGGAGCAGAAAGTTTATTCTGAAGAGAAAAATGAACCAAGAAAAACCTAGATCCAAAATAAATTCAATAAAATGACAGAAAGATAAAAATCAATGCAATCTCTCAGAAAAAAAAAAGTAGGACATAGAAATGGACAATAGGAAAGAAAATATTAAAAAATTAATTGATCTAGAAACTCCTTTTTTTCTTGATCATAGCCCAAGATGGGGTACAGTGGTGTGATCAAGGCTCACTGCAACCTCTGTCCCCCAGGCTCAAGCTATCCTCCCACCTCAGCCTCCCGAGTAGCTAGGACTACAAGCATGCATCACCAGGCCCAGCTAATATTTTTTGTATTTTTAGTAGAGACAGGGTTTCATCATGTTGCCCACGCCAGTCTTGAACTCCTGGGCTCGGGTGATCCACCCACTTGGGCCTCCCAAAGTACAAGGATTACAAGCATGAACCACCACACCCGGCCTGAAACTCCAACACTTAATCAGAAAGAGAAGACAGAGAAAATGGTGGGGAAGAAAGTACAAAAGAAATATACGAAAACGTCCCAGAGGTGAAGGATGTGCATTTTCTGATTGGAAGGACCCACTCAGCACAATGGTGAAAAAAAAGCCTCTAGCATAACACATCGTCATGAGATTCCAGAACTCTAGGAATGATGAAAAGGATTCTAAAAGCTTCCAGATCCAGAGAAACAAACATAGATCCTCTACAAATAACTGGGAATCAAAAATAGGTTACAATTCTCCAGATCAGCCCTTGACACTAGAAGACTCTGCAGAGATGTATCTACATTCAGAAGGCAAATAATTTTCAGCATAGACTCCTATACACAGCCAAAGTATACATGAAAGTCAAAGACAGACTAAAGACACTTTTGAGTATGCAAGGTTTCAAAAAAATTAACTTTCTATGTGTGCATCCGTTCTCATGAAGTTCCTGGAGGATGAATTTCACCAACCAAGCAACAAAGAAAACATACAGAATCCAGCAAACAGAAACCCATCAAAGAAAGAAGGTATTGAAGCTAACTCAGATTGATAGCTCTATAGAAGGTTTAGCAAATGGGCAGCTCTGGTTTGTACGGGAGAACAGAGGATTCCTAGAAATCATCTACAGGAAAAAAAAAAAGGTGACTAATAATACATGTGATGTGTTTGATGAAGTAATCTCACTGGCAATAGGGACATTTAAACAAGAGTGACCAATATAAGAGCGTTATAAAGGGAGAAGTTTAGGTGATTACGAGAACATAAAATAGAAAGTCCTAAGCTGGCCTAAGGCAGCGACATTCTCTTTGAGGAAGAGATGTGTAAACTAATTTAATTATTTAAATTAATTTATTAAATACATAATTTAGTCTTATTATTTAAGACTAAATACTGAAAGATGGTAGAAGAAAGAGTAAGGTGGAGAGAGTGTGAGGGGTGAAGAGGTTATTCTAGGCAGGGGGAATTATTTATGCAACGGCCTAAGGCAAATGTGAAAATGGCTCATAGAAAGGACTGAAGGGAATGCAAAATGCTTGGAGCATAGAGTACAATTGAGAAAATGATGAAAGGTGTCTTGAAAGGTAGTGTAGGCTCATGGCATCGAAGGCCTTGTACACCATATTATGCAGTGGTTTAGGCGAGAGATTATGGTAGCAGAGTCTGAGGTGAAGCAACGGACATGAAGGGAAGTAGACATTTGAGACATGCATAAGAGGTAGAATTAAAAAGTGGATGGTGGCGCCGATTGCTATGACGGAGAACACAATGTGAGAGGCAGTTTTGATGAGGATAAGGAGGAAGAGGGGGAGTTGTTCTTGCCATGTCTAAGTGGAGAAACCCACGAGACAACTAAGTAGAGATGTCCAGTAGGCAACTGCATATCTGTGCCTAGAGCCCTGGAACAATCTGGGACTGATGGAGATCTGAGAATTGTCGTGGAGAGAGCGGCGGAAGCCCTAGGGATGAGCAATGCCAACTATGGATAGAGCATGTGTCAGAAAACTTATGGGATGGGGTAGAGGGAAAGGAGTCTTCAAAGGACAAGGAAGGAGAGCCACGGGAACAGAGGGCCAACTGCAAGACTGTGTGCGAAGGCAAGGGAAGACACAGGGCCCATGGGAGGGGCTTTGTGGTCAAAGTCCTATCGAGTGTGGGTAGGTCAAAACGAATGTGGGGGAAAATATCCACAAATAGTCCTGTGAATTTATCACTCCCAGATTTCCTCCTGGATATCTCAGTGACCGTTA